ATCGGGGGCAGAGGGAATATCTTGGGATGGCGTTGGGAAATGGGGAGGATGTGGAGGCGGCGTTGTATACTTGTGTTTTGGCGATGGGGGTTTATGTGGCGGCGCAGGAGGGGTGGTTGAATCGATATGTTTAACTGGTTATTGGTTTTTGTTCCGGGTTAAACAAATTGTTTCTAGCCTAAGCTTCAGATTGAATAGAATTGCACGATACCCCTTTACAATCAATTGATACCCAGTTCTACGGCCTTAATTTGCAATGCCAACAACCGCGAATAGTACCGACACAACGCCAGATTACCGCCCATGAACCAGAAGCCCGGGTGTCCGCTGCGTTGCCACATCGTGCGCATCTCGCCTTGCTCGTTGAATCCCCAGACACTCTTCACGCGATCCGCTACCTCGTCGCCGAAGATGAGTCGCGCCTGCGTCTGCATGTTCTGATAGCCGGTCGCGAAGATGATCTCGTCCGCCTCGAGCTGCGAGTCGTCAGCGAACCGCAGTCCCTGTGGAGTGACCTCGGCGATCTCCTGGCCCTGTTTGACTTTGATCTTGCCATCTGCAATGAGCTTACTGGCGCCGACATCGATGTAGTAACCGCCACCGCGCTGGAGGTACTTCATCAGAAGGCCTGCGTCATCGGGCCCGCGGTCCACTTTAAAGCCAGCTCGCTCTAGTCCGTCCAAAATCGTCTTGTCATTCTGATTCTGAACCGCGGTGACCTTCTTCTGCTGTGCTTTGAACACCTCCGCCGGGATGCTCCACAGGAACAAGTCGGCGTCTTCAACCGGGGGAGAGGTCTCATCGTACAGGCCCTTCAGCCCGATGCTGGTGATGGATTCAGAGGTGATGACGCAGGTCGAGCTACGCTGGACCATAGTCACATCGTATCCCTTTTCGAAATAGTCCTGTGCGATGTCATGGCCCGAGTTACAGGATCCGACCACGACTGCCTTCCTCCCTTTGCTGTTCGGGTCGGCGCCCGGGAACTCGGAACTATGGCAGATACGCTTTCCCTGGAACGTCTCGACCCCCTTAAAGTCCGGCAGGTTTTTCTTCCCCGAGTGGCCGGTCGCCTGGATAACGTGACGGGGATTGAAGGTACGAGCTTCGACCGTACCGTCCTCCTTCTGTCGTTGGAGCTCGATCGTCCACACGCTCTTCGCGTCGCTCCAGGACGAAGAACGGAGCTTAGTTTTAGTCCACACGTTCAGTTCGAGCAGCTTTGCGTAGCATTCGAAAAACTCGGCGAGCTTGTCCTTGGGGGTGAAGATAGGCCAGTTTGATGGGAACTGAAGGTAGGGCAAATGGTCGAACCACACTGGGTCGTGGAGTACCAGCTGATGATACCGTCTACGCCAGTTATCTCCGATGCGCTCTTCTTCATCGATGATCAAAGTATCGATATCGAGCATTTTCAGACGGGCGGCAATTGCAAGCCCAGATTGACCAGCACCTAGGGAAGTCAGCGTCTACTTAAGGAAAACTAGAAGTATGGTTCATACCGACGATCAAGACCGTGGGATGCTTGTCCTTAAAGTTAAGATCATCGGTTCGTCTATCCTGCCAATTCCTCCGATCGTGATGTTCACCATGCAACACACCCACGGGCCGGTGGCCATTAACCTTCTCCTCGCTCCCTTTGATTTCCTGGAGTGACGTGAAGAAAGTGAAGATCTTCCACTCGCCGTCCTTCTCCGCCAACCGTACCACACCTTTCCCACCTCCTGTATCGGTGGTGACTTTGATGAAAAACTGGATTCCGGTGACGTCTCCAAAGGCATCAATGGGGAAGACAGTCGGAGCCTGGAAAGCCGAGGACCGGTCGATTTCCACTTGCACTACTTTGGGGTTCTCTTGGAGGAACTTGGAGATGTTCTCACGGCCCTTGACGGTACGGAATTCCCATGACAGAATGAGATGGTCTCGCCAGAAACCATCGTCAAGAAACAACTTCGAGATTTCCTGATGTTGTTTTAGGCCCAGAGCTGTATTCAGTAATCTGATTACTTCAGATGCGATCGTATCGGCGTCGACGCCAGTTGACGAACATGTCGCAGGGAACTTTCCCACGGGGACATTGACAGAGCCGGGCTCAATTCTGTCTCTCGAAAGTAGGACCATCGTGCCGTTCCCTATTCTCTATTCAAGGAGAAGATGTGAAGTCGATGTGGGAGAGAAAACACAGGACTGCGGGGTTGAATCGGGGATTATATAGAGCGGGGTAGATGTGTAATCGAGGAACACGAGGCCTGGACCCTGGTCACTTCTTACCCTTCTGGAGATGATGTGATTGTTGTTGTCACCACCCCACCGTATTAAGAGCTGTCCGCTAGTATCCTCTGATGTTCTTCTGCATAATTATTAGTGGACGTCCCTCCCTAGTTCGTTGTAATTAGTATTATTCAAGAACCGACAAAGCACGCTGTCTCCCTCTCATTCCAAGGGCCATTGTTCCCAAAACTAAGTATTTTTCCAAATCCACCATTTCATCTACGGAGGATCTCATTGGGCTAGATATCAAGAGCTCTTCAACTACCCCTTAGTAATAGCTACACTATTGAGTTGTCAAGATATTAGTGCTGATTATGAATTAGTAGTACAAGCAAAAGACGGCTATCACATCCTCATATGGGAGCCATTGCAGGGATCCCATGCAGAAGATACCTTGCATTGACTAGGGTGACAGAGATCCAATGAGGGCACTTCCTAAATAGGATATGCTAGGGCACAATTCCCTAGCACAGATCCGGTGGCCCGGAGGACAGATCGGATATACCCCGACATTCGGGACCAACTCCGTGCATCTACTACAGCTTCCGATGGATTGCAATTAGCACTCCAACAAGTGGTTGGAACAAAAAACAATTATCTTGTGATGCTGCTCCCACGCGGATTTGAACCGCGGACCTCATGATCGACTTATTCAGTACTAGTCATGCGCTCTACCAACTGAGCCATAGGAGCGGCGATGTAGTAAAGATAATTGATGCTCTCACGCGGATTTGAACCGCGGACCTCATGATTGACTTATTCAGTACTAGTCATGCGCTCTACCAACTGAGCCATAAGAGCTGATTGGGTGATGGGCCGTGAGATGTAATGCTATATGAGCGAGATTTAAGATTCTGTTAGAAATACGAAGTTGGGTGTTGGATTGGACTGTTATGTTCCACGGGAGCAGCATGTGCCCGTCCAAGCCCTAACTAGTCCCTAGTATACCCCACCTCTTATCACCTTGTATACCACGCTGAGAGATACGTATTTCGTTCTAACTTACAGAGGTCTTTCGAAGGCGTCGTTGTATTGAATCTCGGAGCGTGCTGCTACTACCTACTAACATATAAAAAATCAAAGCAGACTTCGGCAGTGAAGCACGGAACCACGGTAGTTTTGCAAGCCACAACAAAGGTTATACAAACCTAAAGGGATGGTACTGGAACATCGCATACACTTTTCATTGAGTAGGGACTCCGCACTAGATCTTCTATTACTGTATTAAGCCCAGCGAACCACGGATATAGGTCTCGGTTAATAATCTACAGCACCATGCCACTTACCGTCCCTTTCACCCTCTCCGCATCTCAGACAACGTCACTTGGCATGCTATATAAACTTATATCTAAGTCTCAAAACCTGCACTAGCACCTAAGTCTAATGACCCATTCGGGAGCGATCATCAGACTTGGTCATGGAGCTGCCCTAGTCTCATGCGCAATAAGAGGGGTGATATCAAGCTAAACTACAACGAAGGAATTGGTCGTCTTTACTAAGCGGAGCACTGACAACTTTAGCCTTGCTTGAGAATCCCTTGTTCAGTTACCGTACGGTAGACGTTCCATAGGGATTGGCTGCTTTTGCGGATATATTCCGGCCTCCGAGCCGAACAATTGGCCGGTTAGTCTTGGCTCTGGAGAGTCCTTTGTCTTGTTGGAATGTCAGTTCCATATTTCGATTTCATTATAGCTACTATAAGTACCGTCGACTTGCGAAAATTCGGGTTGAAATTGACGCAGGTCAGTATCCACGATGCTGTACAGCAAGCTTTTGTCTGTGGCCGTCACGGCTGGCCATTTCACCACCACCGTCGCCCAAACTGGGAACTGTTCATCAGCCATAATACCCTACCCATCAATCCCAGATGGACAGGTACTGGATCTCTCAGCGATCCCGGTGTCGAATTACAAAATAGACGACGTCACGCTGAACTTCTGCAATGTGACTGTCACATACACCCACCCAGGCAAGAACGACACCATCCACGTCACAGTCTGGCTCCCGACCACGCAGTGGAACAACCGCCTACAAGGTTCAGGGGGAGGCGGCTACTCAATGAGAGGCTTAGACGACGCTCTCGCTTCAGCAGTCGCCCAGAACTACACTGTCCTCGCCACTGACGGCGGTCACAACTTCGCAAGCGGGCTGAGCTCAGAATCATGGTCCCTCGACGCATCGGGGAATATAAACATGGCCCTGCTAGAAGACTTCGCCTATGTCGCGCTGGGCGACGCAGCTACAGTCGGTAAACAGATCACCGCTAGCTTCTACGGCCGTGGCCCGCGATACTCGTACTGGAGTGGATGCTCCACGGGCGGTAGGCAGGGCCTGATGTTGGCACAGTGGTATCCGACCGCTTATGACGGGATCATGGCCGCTGCGCCAGCGATCAATTGGCCTAGTTTTCTGGTCGCGGAGATGTGGCCGCAGGTTCTTATGAATGAGCTTGATGCGTTTCCGCCGAGTTGTGTTACTGATGCTATCACTGCTGCGGCGGTGGAGGCGTGCGATGGCATTGATGGGGTTGTGGACGGGGTTATTTCCGCGCCGGATCTGTGTGAATTTGATCCCACTGCATTGGTTGGGAGTGAGGTTGATTGTAACGGGACCAGCGTGAGTATCACTAGGGAGGATGCGTTAGTGGTAAAGGGCACCTGGGAGGGATACAGATCCTCGGAGGGTTCATTCCTATGGTACGGACTCAACAAAGGTACGCCGCTGTCTATGGGAGAGTTAAGTCTAGTCCGCACCGTATGCTCCACGCCGTTCAACTGCATGGGCGCCCCATTCGCCATCTCCGCGGATTGGATTAGTCGGTTCGTGTTACGAGACCCGAACTTCGACTTCTCCACGCTGGATCACTCGGAACTCGATGGGGTATTCGCGCGCTCTAAGGAAACCTTCAATGACATAATAGGCACCGATGACCCGGACCTCTCGGAGTTTAAAGAGGCCGGCGGGAAGATGATCACCTGGCATGGGCTGGCTGATAGCCTTATCTTCCCAAAAGGCACGGAGCAGTACTACAAGCAGGTGGAAAAGGAGCATCCGTCTGTGCGGGACTTCTACCGTTATTTTGAAGCTCCGGGAGTATATCATTGTCGCGGTGGGGTGGGACCCGTTCCTACTGATCCGCTGAGGGCGGTAGTGGATTGGGTGGAGAACGGTGTGGAGCCTGGGACTCTTGATGCCCTTGCTGCTGATGGGAGAAGACGAGGACTTTGTGCTTTCCCGCTTGTTCCGGTGTATCAGGGGGGTGACGATGGGGATGCTGAGAGTTATAGGTGTGAAGACGCGTTCAATTGATGCGTTGACCACGTCGACAGAGGTTCTAGTACATATTTAGCCATTGAGAAAGAGGCTCGTAAATTATCATTGCGCTTTGAACTGCAAAACGAAGTGTCACTGTCATTCGCGAACCCCCGAGAAAACACTTTATAAGCAAACCGTGATGGGTTGCTGGGAAAGCAATATGTTTGCATTCCTTGAACCACAGGATGATTGCGGCGAAACTCAGAATGAGGGCCTTGGTCTAGACCTATTTGCAGGTCTCTTTTTTTTTTTTTTTTTAAAAAAAAAAAAAACCGAACGTTATTTTGGGCCACATTGCGAACGTCACAGAATAATCCAAAGGCTGCACACGGCATGGGAAAGGCTAATAACTTTAACCTTCTTTGTAGTGTCATCAAGGAGTCGGCGGTCTCGTTCCGTCGGAAGACAGAGTCCTTTCTTCGATCATGGAGAGTTCCAGGGCCTTCTCATGCAAAGGGCATGGATCTATTCCCGCTCGACAATAATGCAGCCTCGGGGGTATAAGCTTCGGCCCGTGAATACAATAGTATGAAGCTCGTTACCGTTAGCGAAGCGTAGGATTCATCGGATTAAGGGGGGTTGCAATATCAGAGCAGATGTTTTAGTAAATGGCTTCATAGAGGATTTTAATGAAATGGACTTGACCCGTTTCCAGAGGGAGCATGAACAGCCCCTCTTACTCGATCGGCTCAACTCGGCTCCTCTTCGCAAATACTAAGCGCTTGGTTCTATTCTGAAGCCGAAGCCTCGATTCTTCTACAGTATACATACGATAACCCAGCCAATGATCAAGGACGGATCCGCATACTCTACAAGAGTGGTGCTACAACACCAACCCTAACCCAGCCACGACATGAGTAAAAAAATGCATTATAATCACACTGCTATACACATCCATCGAACCTTCATAATATCTTCCCTATCACAGAACTTGATAAAGCCAATCCGCGCACATCCCCGTAAACCGATCAAACTTCGTCCCAGCGGGACAAACCTGCGCCCCCAACCCACCAGCCGGGGGACAATACTCGAAGTTCATGCACTCGCCGCTGGCCAGCGCACACTGCTTGCCATTGAACTCTTGGCCCGGGGGACACGTAGGCGGCGTGATCGCCACACACTCCTTGCTCTCCTTCACGAACACCGTGCCCGGGGCACATGCAGGGAGTTTCTCAGCGACACACTTCTTACCGTTGAACCTCATGTTCGGCGGGCAAACCGGCTCGAGCGGGTGGGCGCACTCCTCGCCATCGAAGACCAGACCCTCGTCACACCCGGGTTCCGTGCCCACACAGACGGTGCCATCGAAGCTGGTGCCGGGGGGACACTCGGGCTTGTTCACCGAAACACACTCGCCGGATTGCAGGATATAACCGGGTCCGCATTCCACAGCAACGATGCTGATGCACTTGCGGCCGGACCAGATGTGGTCCGGCGGACAGGTGGGGCGTTTAGGGGAGACGCACTGGGATCCGTCGTAGATGGTGCCCTTCGGGCAGGCGGGGATGCCTACAATGCAGGATCCACTGACGAGGGTCGAGTGCGGGGGACACTTGGGGAGGAGGGAGGTGATACAGTCGCCGGCGCCGTTGGGGACGCTGCCGGCGCTGCAGACGGGGGTGGAGGTGGAGACGCAGCGGGTGCCGTCGAAGACGGTGTCGGCGGGGCAGGCGGGGAAGTGCGGGACGACGCACTCCTCACCGTCGATGGTGCTGCCCTCTTCCTCGCAGTCGGGGAGGAACTCGGAGATGCAGTTGGTGCCGTCGAAGGTGAAGCCCTCCTCGCAGGCGGGGAGGTCGATGCTGACGCAGATGGTGCCGTCGAGGCGGGTGGCTGACGGGCAGAGGGGTTCCTCGGTGGAGAGGCAGCGGTCCCCGGCGAGGGTCAGGCCGGGCGGGCACGCGGGGGTCTCGGTCGAGACGCACAGAGTGTTCTCGAGGGTGTGGCCCGGCGGGCATTCGGGGAGTTCGATGCTGATGCAGCGGTTGCGGTCGAGCTTGGCACCGGGCGGGCATTGCGGGATGCGCACGGGCTGCTTCTGGCAGTGGCCGCCGACCTTCGTCAGGCCAGGCGGGCAGTTGTTTTCGCCGTCGGTGGGGAAGACGCAGACTTCACCGTCCCAGGTCATGTCTGCCGGGCAGCAGCGGGCGGTGTTGGAGGCCAGGTCAACGGACAGGTCGCTGCCGGGCGGGCAGGCGGCGTCTTCCTCGATGACACACTTCTTGGTGACGGGGTCGAGGGTGCTGCCGGGGGGGCAGGCGGGCTTCTCGGAGGTGATGCACTTCTCGGCGAGGGCGTTGAAGGTCGTGCCCTCGGGACAGGCCGGGCTGAATTCGGACACGCAGGAGCCGTCCTTGTTGAGGGTGGTACCTGCTTCG